TCGTTGAAACCACCAAGTAGCACACATTCCTGAGATGATTTTACCGCGAGAGATGGCTCACATTGTTGCCTTCCATTGCTCATCTAAGGAGATCACTTCCTGCAGCTTGCCCACTGGTTGGGAAGGCCCGGTCTGGCTACCTGAAGTCACTAGCCATTCAGATACCGCGGCCTTGCATCACGTGAGGCCTCGCCTACTTGATGTGACTTGACTTTGCCCACGACAAAGGATGAGACGGGCTGAGACGGGTGTGCCTTTAAAAGGGGGTTCAACGAATGTTTCAACGACCGTTGCAGTGTTTTTGATTCTTCCTGCTTTCCAGTAGCATTAGGCCGGGGGGGGGAAAAACATTAAGACTGCGGCAAGATAGATGGGCTTTCATTCACAATGATGTATAGTATGTGCATGTATGTGCCTTCTATCTCGACTTCATAGCTGCTAGAAGCGTTTCATGCGAAGCTGTGGGGGGTTGATTTTGGTCGGGCCTTGACGGTATCGACTCCATTCGACTCCAATGTCATCCGCATGCAACCTCTGCAACTTGGATGCAACGAAGAGCCATTGACATCAAAAACTAGTGCAAGAAGATGCAAGAAGCATACCAGGCATACTATAAGAAAGCAGGGATTGGGTAGATTCATACTTCATATTGCGCTGGTGCACATTTAGCATCTATTGCTTTGCCACTTGCGAGACTTCTGAAGATTACGATGGATGGATAACAAATATAATTACTGTACACCCCCACACACACATACACATATAATCACATATATATATACATATATATAGTATACGCCTATTATGCACACACACACATATATGTAGATATATATATATGTATACACACACACACATCCCTCTCCCTTTCTCTCTGTAGATGGATAGCTACATGGAGAAAAGCTACACGCAGGGACATGAGGTGACGCTCTCTTCAGCCTGCCAAGGTACAATCCGTTGCGCTGCTGCGATGAGCGATACGACAAGAACATGTCTTCAGAAGAACGTCGGTTCATCCTGTCCCTTTCAGAAGGCCTCAGCCCAACCCCCCTACATCCCACAGCTGATATACTGTAGCATCCACATCAATTTAGATGCAGTTTGCATCACGTCTGTGCATTTTCTGGACGATGTGGGTCAGGAGAAAGTGCCTAAGTCCTGGTTTGATGCGAGAACACATGTTTTGCCCAGAATGACAGTCACAATGGCACAAGCGTGTAGCCCACATGTTCGATCAAACCCGTTCCAAGACCATCCCAGAACATGGTAAAATTGTTGGGTTTGGCCCGCGGTCGCGCTGCTACCCTGAAACTTAAGGTAGTGAGATGATGAGGGAACCAAAGTTATCAAAGGTCACAACGGGACGTATTGGAACCTAACGACCTGCCACTTTGGCCAGTGGGTTCCAGATGTTCCATTCGAAATCGAAGCTACTTGGCCATTTTCCCAACGGCAACTGCAGATGAGATTCCCTGACCACTAGGTTTCATGTTTTGTTCATGTGGAAGTTGAGTGGAAGTTGTAACGACCAGTTTGATTCCACCAAGACTCGCAGCCGGACATCATCTTTTGGAAGCAAAGTGGTTCTTGGTGTCATCTGGCTGGTGCCATGTTGTCTCCCATGGCGGCAACCGGTCGTTCGCGGCCGTAGCATAAGCCCTCCCCATCAGTTGCAGCGGGTGAGATCAGCACCAAGGGATTCGACAGCGTAGCGGTTGGTGGCTTCACTTCTATTTCGTCGTTGTTCGGACACGTAATGATTTTCACCCAGTAAGACTCTGGGTAAAAAAAACAGTACATACATGTATACACACACACACATATATATATATATGCGCCGTCACGACGGACTCACTGCACATCACTGCACCATGATAGTCTACGTTTACTTGACAATTACAGTACTTGTTAGAAGCTATCCCATAGGAATTGCCCAGATTGTCCAAGGTCATTGCCTCAGATATCTATCCCAGAACCAGATAGAACCAGTCCAAATGACTTCTAGATGGCTGTCTCCTGCAAGTGGAGAAAAGGCACTGATGGAGGCGCAGAGGCTGCAGGGGCAAAGTCCCTCCCATGGAAACTGCGGAGGCCTGAGCAAATCATCCTACCTGGCCTTACCTTTCTATAGGATTTATCAAGAGATCTGGGATTCTGATTCTGGGATTCTGGTTCATTCGGATGTTGAAAAAACATACTAAATCCCAATGCCACCCAAGAATGCCAGGAGGTTACAACTGGGCCATCAAACCATCAGGGCTTCCAAGGCCCACCTTTTTCGTGCCTCCTCATCTCCTCCAAACGTTGTGGCGTGCCCTCGGGGCTGCCCTCGGGTGCAGAGTCCTTCGAGAAAAAGAGTTGAGACGCTGGGGGGGTCAGGATTGTCCCCACTCTGCCATGACGGATGCGTTTTTTTTCCTAAAGTTAGTTGCTAAGTCTCAGAAAATATGCACCATCTGCAGCAAATTGGATGAAATTGATATTCAAATTGGATCAACTTGGTCATTTGTAAGAAGGTAGCTCAACTGCATTCACTGAGGCATTCGCCCACTGAATGCTGAATCAATCTGAATCAACTTCTTGGCTCACACGGCTTACACGCTGAAGCCGCAACCTGTTGGCGCGTCGGCGTTTCCTTTGGCTCCAGCTGGGTGATAGAGAGAGTTCCTTCCAGTCGCCATAGATCGCCATTGTGATTCTTAGTCGCCACTTTCATTTTGATCATTTTGATCATTTTGCGGCATTAGGTTGCAATATTTGGCATATCTGGCAGGGTCCAGCACAGCTTCCATTGCCTCAATGTGACACCCCAGCCAACAAGAATATTCAGCTGTCGCGACCAATGACCAGCGCTGCCATGGTGGGCTAGCAGCTCAACCACAACAGGTGCGAAGTGGATCAAGTTTTTTCAGAATGTTTTTCCGTGGGAAACATGGAAAAAACCAGTCAGATCAGTTGTTTGGTACCCTTCATATCTCTTCATAATGATTCATGACGCTTCATGGATCCTGTCCTATTCAGTCCTATTCCATATTGATTTAATATGATTTAATCCTATCCCCGCCACGGAGGGGGTTTGCCTTAGATCCCACGGATCACGGTGACCGCAGGTTGTAATGGTTGTTGAGCCCTTTCGACCGACAAGCCCGCAGACGCAATGGCAGGCTCCCCTGGCTCTACCTTCTTAGCTGGACAGTTGTGTTGATTCAAATATATCTTGGAAATCCATTTCATGATATTTCGTAGGGTAAGGTAACAATCATTCAATCATGAAACCAAACATTGATCCCATTTCATGACATTTCATGTTCAATCCCCTTGGAAACGATTCGTTAAGGATGTCCAGGATGTCTGACATTCCCCAGCCCCATTTCTAGGGCAACACCCTGGACGAGTTGGCGCGCGTCTCCAAACGGGCCAGCCGCTTTCCGGAGAAGTGTGGCCGACTGCCCACGCCCGCGTACAAGAAAAGCCGCTGGGCGTCGTTATAGGACTGAGAGAACGACTTAGAGAACTCATGATGACTCGTTTTTTTTTTGGTAATCAAGCACTTTTCAATCATAGTTAGTAATAGCATGGAATAACCTATTGTATAAGGAGTCAATGTATAATAAGATGTGATCTTTTTGCAACTTCTTAAGAGCTGACAAGTGCACAGCCGAGGAAACGGTCCAACCACGGACTACCGGGAGGCCTCCTTCGCTACCATCGATGAGGAGGCCTGCTGGTGCGGCCAAGAATGGGACTGGAAGCAGAATTGCAAGATGTGCCATCCGAAATACGGAAAGTCATATGAATTAATGTAGAAGAAATAAAGCTGATGATGGAACTATTCCTTTCCGCCCTACGTCGTTGATCGATATGCTGTTATCTCGTGCCTTCATGTCATTTGCTTGAACCTGTGGTGTTAAATACCCCAAGAGCATGCTCACCCATTCAACTGAGATGGGATATGTATTCCCATGCCACCTTTTGCCACCTAACATGTGGATGATATCCAACATCCACACATTCCACATCTTCGAACTGGCATACCCAGTCACCATCAGTCACCCATCTCCCTTCTCAAACTCCTGTTGGAAGCAGCCGCCATAGCTCCGGCCTTTTTTGAATCCTGCCAGGATTCAGATAGCGAATCCTCCTTCGGGGAATACTCCGGAGATGAAGACGCAGAACCGGTTCCGGCACCGCCAGGGCGGCTCAGGACTTCATTTTGGAAGTCACTGGTGAGGGTAGAACCTACTTATTGCGGTAGCCCCCTCTCTACTTGTAAGCAGGGATACTAACCACACATATTTAAATATATCACATGATATTAATATATATTAATAAAATCATGGGTAATAATGGCATATACTTTGTATGTAATGTTGTGTTAATTGTGGGTGCCATTTTTTCAAATGGAAGCTGCGAATGAGCAATCCATTTTCCACAGGAGGTTGCATCAGCACCCCGCGCTGCAGCCATTGATTTTGGCTCTTGTCGGTCAGCTACTGCTGAACCTATCCAGCTATACTGTCCATGATTTCAGGCTTTCAAAGTTGACTATGGAGCAGCAAAAGCTCACGTGTTTAGGGCATACGCAGGCCACACTGTATGCAAGGTGTACACGTGGGTTGCACATGGTTGCACAGGGTTTGCAGCGTGATTTTAGGCGTCATCGTCCATCACTGCCAGTCACCACTGCACAACCCAGAATATATTGTAAACCAACGAACGCATTTTGGGGAAGGTGCCATTTACCTGTCAGACCTTGGGCGAAGACACTGCAAAACGTTGATCGGTCAGCGCCAGCTACTTGACAATCACCACTCGACCATACTGAGAGCCTTCATCCCATGTCGCTCCAACAGTCGTTTCTGAGATCTCTGCGCAACCAGCAAGGAAGACAGCCTGTCCTGGTGGTGCAAGCTGCCCAAGCAGCCTGGCCCTTTGGAGCTTTCACTAGCCGCCCGCAGGGCGCACCCTGGTGGGCGCTGCTGATTTCGGGCTTGGGGCTGGGAACTGCGGTGGCGCTGCTGTTGCGGTTGTTGGCATGGTGGAGGACTGGTGATGCGGTGTGCTTGTTGGAACCTGTTGGAGTTGAAACCTATTCATGAAGCATGCCATCATCATCCAATCATCCAAAGTCATACGCACAGAATCCGAAGGCCTTTAGCCCAACCGGATTTTGGTTCTAATATGAAAAACTAGGAGAAAAAAACACCCCCAAAAAAAACAGCAGAGTCAGAACTGGATCCCATGGACTGCATCCACCGACACCAGGAACTACGAGAAGTTCCAAGCCCTGCGCTCGCGGCCGCGCGAGGCCTCGGCCTCCGAAGCCGCCCCAACGGTGGCGCCCAGCGCGGCGCGGATGGCGGAGCTGGTGGCGTCACTGAAGGCGCATGCAGAGGCGCCAGCGGTTGGAATATCACTGTTTCGACGTTGTTTCAACGTTGCTTCCTACATTTCCTATTACAATCTATTACAGTATCATGTCATATCATTTCCAAAGAGCTCCCAAAACAAAGGCTTGCAGGATGTTGGAGGTTCTATCCAGAAATGTCCAAAAGTTGCAAGATCCAAGGAGTCTACACATCATTAAAATTCATTAAACATTTATTAATGTAACATCCATTGTAACATCCATTGTAACATCCATATCATCCATTGTACTTTATCCATTTTTATTCATTTTCCATCTTTATCCTAGAAGTTGATCTAAAATGATCGAAACATCTGCACAGGAGACGCGTGAGGTCACGGCCTCATTGAGGCGTTCGGTGGAGCAGCAGCAACGGCTGTATCAGTGCCTGGACCGTGGGGCTATGGGTTGATGGGGGTCATTTTAAGGGTGTTTACATGTACATACATTTGAAATATAGAGAGATACACACACACATATATATATATATATTATATATATATAAACACACACATATATATATATAATGCATATCTAGATTCTAGATTATTATTATATGATTTAAGAACACTGTCTCTCTCTCTCTCGCATGCTATCCCACCATGTTTTTGGTTTTCTGGGAATTCACGTCGGAAGATGGTGTCCAGACTTGGCAGCCAAGATCGTGTTGCTGTGAGATCGATTTTTTCGTACCGTGCTAGGGCAGTAATAGATGCAGACTATTTGGCAACCCGGATCACATCGCAGTTGTCATATGTCAGCACGGAGTTGCAAACCGGTTGCAAACTTCAAACCGCAAACGCCTCAAGTATCCAGCCTCCCACTACCTGGATGGCCCCTGACCAGTTGTATATGAGTTCCCCAAGTGAAATCCCAGTGAACCACGGGTCAATGGTAAATATTTCTATCCTGGCCGGTTCTCAACCCCATGACTGGCAGGGTATGCCGAAGTCCCCTGTGGGAAGGCTCAAAAAATTGGTGTCAGATCCTAAACAGCAAGCCATTGGAGTTCAAAATGTTGGTTTGTCTATGTTTGTCTTATTATCGATGGTTTAAGTCAAATCAGATTATATAATTATACATCCCAAGCTCTCATAGTGATATACATCAGAATCTCAATTTTAACCGGTAGGCACAGCATCGCCCCAGGGTGGCCGCCATCGACTTCCAGCGCAAGTTGGACGAGGCATCCAAGCGGAAGAACTTGGCTGCGCGCATGGAAGTGGCGCCGGAGTCCCTCCAGCTGCTGCGGTCCTTGGTTGCCTGGCAGATTAGAATCTGATACATTACATCGCATATTGCAAAAAACACCTACGCAAAGAAGCACACACACATTATATTATTATTATATATATATATTATATTCTATAATATATATATATATATATTATGTTTATATATTATATTATATTATATTATATTTTATTATATTATATTATATTATATTATATTATAGTTCATTATATTATGTTATAGTTTACTATATTATATTATATTTTATTTTATTATATTATATTATAGTTTATTATATTATATTATATTATATTATATTATTATATTACATTGTATTGTATTATATTATATATCTAATATATATATATAGATATTGTAAATATATATTATATTATATATTATATGCATATATATATATTATACATAATACATTATATATATTATATACTCTACTGTATTTATTTTTCATATTATATATATTATATGATTTATATATCCTATATAATATATTATATGTTTTATATATCATATATAATATATTATATGTTATACACGTTATTCCACATATATACTGTTCATATACATTATATATATTTCCTATGGCACAGAACATTATATATCCACTTTTTCTGATGATATACAGCCACATGGTTTGCAACCTGAGGTGAGCTGCAAACAGGGCACCGGCGGCGCCAGGGCCAAAGAGAACCTTGGTGAAAAAGACAGCCAGGCTGCAGAAAATGACTCAAAATGTGACTTAGTATGACTTAATGTGACTTAGTACTTGATTGGAATTGGTGACTTAGTAACACAAAATGTATGACTTAGCAACACATTGAGTCATGGAGTGGCAGACATTCCAACTGCAACTGAAGTGAAATCTTTTCAGATTTTTGTCGGAGGTATTCAATTGTAGATTCTACACATTCCAGGGTGAATCCAACAACTGATTTGTTTTTTCTGTGGGCCTTACATGTCTGACATCCGACCACAGCCAGGAACGGCGACAGCCGCATCGTTGAGGCGGACGACAAGGCGCCGGACGACGTTGGCGCGCGGAAGGAGTCCCTCGGACGACGATGGGCACCGAGGGAAGGGTGTCTTGGGGGTCAGCAAGAGGCAAGAGCCATGATAAGTATGCACAATAATTAACAATATATAAATACCATGAAATAGCACATAGATATACATAGGTATACATAGGTATAATTACATAGATATACATAGATATACATAGATATACATAGATATACATGTACATATAATTATGAATATATTTATGCATATAATATACATAGACATACATATACATATAATTTTGAATATATACTTACATATGCATATACATATACATACATATACATATACATACATATACATATACGTATACATATACATATGCATATGCATATGCTGACATATGCATTTATGTATACATATACATATGCATACACATACACATACATACTCATACATATACATATACATATACATATACATGCATGCATGCATGCATGCATATACGTGCAGGTATGCGCAGTAAAGTGCTAAAGTGCTAGATATAGCAATATCCATTTGAGATGTGTCTGAAAATGGCCGATAGCCATAAAATGGCGTGTGTGTGTGTTTTTTTTTTATTAATGGACCAACCATGTCGGTCAGCCCTCGCTTTCATCCTGTGCATTTATATGCATTTATGCTTCACTTTTCTTCGAGTATATGATGTATGTATACTTTGATTCAGACTGTGAACTTCAAGCTTGTCTTGTCTTGGGACCGGCTTTAGACCATGGAATTTGAAACAGACCACATAAAGCAACTGGCGGAAACATCCTTTCTTTCTATGGAGTAGACATCCCAAAATGTTAACTTTATAGGAATGCGTGTTGACCATGTACCAAGTACTGGCTGGGATGCAAATCCAAGTCACTTAAGTGGGTTTCCCCAATGAAAGGTACCTGCAAAGAAAAGCGATTTGATTCATGTTAGCTCGCGCCTTTCATAAACGGGATAATCAGGGTACAGTAAATCGTTAGGACCATTACTATATATTACTATGGTATACTATGGTATTTCCAATATCTCCCTCTCTCTCTCTCTCCCCCTTTCTGTCTCCCTCTCTCTCCCTCTTCCCCCTCTTTGTATGGTATATATATAATTATATACGTATGTATATACTGTAATTAGTAAGAATCAACATATTATCATCACCATTGGGGCTACAAAAGGGGTATAGTGTGGATTGAGATTAAAGGATAGTACCGCATTCTCACAGTCCCACTAGTAAGTGAAATATTTCTCCCAATTTTGGAGGGCCATTGGGAATTGTCTATATGACAATTGCTATGACAACAACATTTACATGAAGATTCCAGTACGTTACCCATTACCGTCATAGGATTATAGGATAATAACATCCATACCCTCTCGGTTCATGCTTTTGAGCCCTGAGGCCATTAGGAGGTCTTTATCCTACATTACATGTACCTGGATAAATTATAACAACGTCACTGCGACATCGCCTTATGATGGTGAAAGGGGAATCACCCCAAGTTGCCAAACCTTTTAGGCTGGTTGATTATGATGAAAATTATCCAGATTTATCACTGAAAGGAACTGGATAAGTTACTGCATAGCATAACATAGTATAACTCAACTATTTCACCGTGCTATCACGTGAGCCAGCATCAGTATAGCCTACGATGGTTTGACATCACCCCCCAATTTTTTGGGGCGAAGAAAATCTAAGAAAACCATAATATTCCCATGATATTCCGAAGATATTCCCATGATATTCCCATGATATTCCGAAGATATTCCCATGATATTCCAAAGATTGGCCAATAAATCACATATGTTGAAAGATGTTCATTGAGGCGGGACGAGACGACCTCCAAACCACCCGAGAAGCCGCCCATGGCGGCGCCCTGGGCGAGTGCCATGGTGCAGCAGCAACTCTCCAAATTGGGGCCCTGATGCCATGTGATGCCATCCATTGGTTTCACCATGCAAATAGCCCATATTTTTTTGGGGGAAATGTCCAAAGAGTCGTTAAACAGCGGGTTTTGCATTCAAGATGATTGGATTTCTCCACATGACTCAGAGGCACCAAAACTAAAACCACCCGAACTGACCATGAGATATGATCAAAACGCATCAAACTTGGGAATGCAGAGCGCAGACATGAGAATAAAACGTCCCCACAATTCATCCACCAAAGATGTTTTGGTTTGCCAATCTGTTTATTAAAAAACATGTTTTGCCATGTTTTGCCATGTTTTGCCCTCATTTTTTGCAAAGGCAAAAGCAACCAACCTAGCCTAACGTCCATTTTGACACTGGCATCGCACTCGTTGTGAGGGCGACACGTTTCACCGCACAGTCGACGCGGAAAAAACCATCCTTGGCCGGTCGATGGGGGATTTGGTGACCTCGAAGGAACCATCCTTTACCAATCCTTTACCACAATGGGAAGGTAACCATAGATTGATGTCATAGATGTATAAATAATAATGTCATTGATGTCATTACATCCAAACCTTTCAGAATATCATGATATATCATGTCATAATGTCATAGATTGATGTGGAAGGTTCTCTCCTTCCTGGAGGCTTGTGAATCTGCAGAATCCCATCCTGAAGGTTGAGCCCCATCCAAACCATCAGGGTGTCCGTTGCCCCCAGGCCCCGAACCCGGCGGCTCTCGAAGTTTTCGCGATACAGTCACTTGGTGGAGGTCGTGCTGGCATACTCTTCATATCCCTTCATGTTCCATCTTGGTGGATGTTGCTGGATGTATAATGATGTATAGTGATTATAACGGACTATACATAGCTATAAATGGGATCCAGCTCGTGGGCACGTTGAGCTCAAGGCGTTGATGAAACAGATGCGTTGAAGAAGAAAGCGCAGAGCATGCTGCCGGATCTCAATTTGGTCCTGGAGCAACTGCGCAGTGGGGATGGAGGCGGGCATCTGCTGCTTCAGAAATCATGGCTGATGGGGTGAACGATTCTCAGGCTGAGATTTTGGAGATCCAAGTCTTGGAGATGTGCTTTTCGGCCGATTTCTGTTCAATGAGATGGTTGAAGGGATTTTAAATGATTTTACCATGTTAGACACACTGATTTGGACCATTGAACATGAGGAATTTCAAGGGATTGCCCTGCGGTGATAGGCTTGTCAGAGTCCGAGATCGAGCGCTATGGCGCTTCGTTCGTGAGATTTAAAGATCCAGATGGCCCCGAAATGCACAAGGCACGGAAAGGGGTGCTTCCAGACCATGGGTTTGGGCCTATAACTTTGGCAAAGATGAAGGAACTCCACATGTTCAACAGGAACAACATCTACAAACGGGTGATTCCATTGCCGTGTTATATTAGCAAAGGCATTGAAAAAGGGTAATTATGCGGCAGTGATTCCTGGAGCCATTGTTGGCTGTAGTACAAGACAGGGACATTGTGACATTCTTCTATTATCTCACCTCTTCAATGTGCTCACCATGGCTCACCATATTTTCATCGTATACCCTCTGGTAAACTAACATAACAATGGAAAATCACCATTTTTCATGGGAAAATCCACTATTTCTATGGCCATTTTCAAGTTCGCAAACTGTTAAAACATAACCAGAGGGTAGTGATTGCCATTCTCCATCCACGGATTCAGATGGAAATCGCTCAGTGGAGCACCGGCCAGCCGGCGCCAGGATGAGTTGCCCAATCTCTTGGCGTTTCTGGGCTTTCCGAATCCTGATCCCCAGAAGTGCAGGGAGCTTGCGGCTGCCTGGCAGCACTACCGGGATACCTATGGATACCTGGGGGATCTCTACCGGGAGACCGGGAGACCCGAAGGGAATCCCGGTATCCCAAACGTAACCGGAGGTACCAAACGTCCCATCCCAAGTACAAACACCGAGGTATTTTTGGTTATTGGGGGGTATTTAGTATTAGGGTGCAAAGCGTCCTCTCAGTAGTAAAATCAAATCCATGTCAAAATCGATCAAGTCCGCATTTAAATCCATATAACATATTGCCAACAATTATTGGCTTTCGAAGCTTTCCCCCGGCCCGCTGATAAAATCAAAAGCCTGAATTAAAACAACTAGCATTTTTGCCAGGGACCCCAGTAGGAGACGGCCCCCAACCAACTGGTTGTTACTATTGAGGGGTGACAACCCTCAATGGGACCTTGATTTGAAAATTGTTTTCTAAAGAGGATCAATTAATTAAACATCAAATTGACCAATCTTAAATTTCGCAAGAACGACAATCTGAAGTTTATTTTATATTAATTGGGGTGTATTTAGTGTAGAAGGAAGAGGGGATTCACATCGATCAACGCTACAACAGGACAACCTAGGGTTTAATTGTGGCTAGCCAGGATGAGTGTGCTGACTATCAGACACTGGAACGAGTGGATTTCCTGTGTCTTGGCGATAGGGTGGGTCGTCGGGTTGGCGGTGTTCAATATGGCCAGGTTTGAATAGGTCCCTAGACAAACTCCAGCACTGGTACAGTAATTACATGATGCCTTCATGACTTTCATGATCTTCATGATCATCATCTGGTTGGTGGTTTGGAACATTTTTTATTATTCCATATATTGGGAGTAGTAACCCCAACTGACTAATATTTTTCGGAGGGGTTGAAACCACCAACCGGTTCATGGTCTTCATGATCTTCCATTGCACTGGGGTTGTCCAAACATTGCCCGGATCCCTCGGGTCGCACTGGTTTTAGCGATGGGTCCATCCTGCAGTATCCAGAATACCCTTCAATGATTGGATTGGTTTAAGGGAACATTTACAGGAAACCATAGATTTTCCCATTAAATATGGGGCTTTCCTGTAGATTTTCCCTTAAACCAATCCATTGATTCACTATACTTCTGAATATCCCACAATGGTTCGGTTGGATATTATGCTGCATTCAGGTGCCCTTGTTGGATATGCCACGATATGCCCCAGCCAACTAGCAGTTCATACCACTTCGGTTCCCAGGGAATTCATGGAGAAGTGGATCTCACATGAATGCGAGCGCTATCGGGTGCCTCGCTCAAACTCGGTGGAACAGACTGGGGTTTGCCATGCACAACGGTAGTGGGGTAGTCTCGAGGACAAGCCCTGCCACCAGGGCACAACCATCATGAACCAACAAAATTCAACAAAGGCTTTCTCATTGTTTCTCCAACAATGCGGTGCACTGGTATACCCGCCAAATGGCAATTGTTTGATCCGGAAAATGGTGATTCACCGATTTAGAGGTACCCTATTCTCAGACAAACCATGACAAACCCGCATAGTGTATTGATGGAAATATATCATTATATATCATTATATATCTATCATATCATATCAATTATATCAATTTTAATTCAATGTTCAAACCAATTTAAACCACCATTAAACATCATTAAACCACCAAGACTTCATGGCCAACTGCCGCAACTTGGGCCATCGATGCCCAGGAAATCTTTGCCTCCTACGACGACGCACCTCGGGCATGTTGGTTGATTTTCGATGGTGTCATCCATTCAAAATCAACCAAAAAAACATGGGGATGACACCATCAAAAACATTGAAAAAAATGGGATTTAATGGGATTTTATCATATTTTATCTGTTTCATCCATGTGTTTCATCACTTGACTTTCATGTTCCATCAACTGCGTCATAGCATGTCATGGCTTGGAACGAGAGCAACCCTGGCTTGCGATGCACGAGTGCTGATTCACCCCGCAATTGCTGCCTGCATCAGCATCCAATTCTCATCATATATCCATATATATATATACATATATATATATCATTATATATCCTACATTTATATTTACCTCCAAGACATCTAATTTCCAACAGACCAACATCATCACTCCTCCGAGACCCTGAGTGTACCCAATTCTTCTCATCTTCCAAAGCTCTGGGCTCTATTCGAAGCCTACAGAAAATCCTCTTCCATTCATTCTGCAAAAAAGCCACTCAATTTTTGTGAAACCGTGTTGGTTGAATGTCAAGATTTTATAAGAAAAATATATATGATTCATATATGTATATACATATATTAGGTACATTTATGAGTCAGTAAAACCCACATCATATATTTCACATGATTTTCCCCAGATTTCTCGTACCTCGTGATCTCCCTCATGCGTTGCCATCCCTTAGGACGGCAGCGGCTTCTTGGACACCACGGAACTCATGACCTTCGTGAGCTCCTTGGGCTTCACGCCCCTGCGCAGCAGCTTGGCTGCGGATGGGTTGTCAAAGAGAATTTCTGTACATTCCATCCATTGTTTAACCAATGTTAGTCATCATTTTCCCCAAAACATGCATTGGTGATCACCATATTTCCCTATATTTTCCAACATGTTTCATCATGTTTCCATATTTTACCATAATTTTTCCATCTATTCCATGATTCTATGGTAGAATCACCATATATTTCTATTTATCCCATATATCGGTGAATCACCATATTCTCCATCCAATCCCATTGGCAAATTGGGCAGGCATGGTGAAGGAAGCCTTGGACCTGGTGGACCTGGACCGCAACGGCGCTTCAGCGAAAAATCACCTGGTGGAAAAAAAGCCATGAAAAGAAGGATCATATATTTAAGCTATGAGATATAATGTGATATAATATATAAATATATAATATAAATATATATATATATATAATGATTCATATAGTGGTAAACATATGGGCGAAATTTTGAGACATAAATATAGAATTTAATACATATTTCCATATATTTCCATTGGTTGAAATCCGTGTTTCAGACCTGGTCTCAAAAATGGCGTAGGCCCAATGCCACCATCACCAAGCGATTTCATGAAATGGGTTGGTTGGTATAGGCCCGACCCGGTTACCACCCCTCGATAAGCTAAAAACACAGTAAATTAAATACCATACGAAACTGCCTCTCCAGGATGCTATCTTGTGAATTGTTTCTTATTAGGTTTTTTTTCTCTTTTTTCGGTTATTCACTTTTTGCCAACATCGTGATGTCTAGGTAGAGTCTAGGTGATGATATCTATACTAGATCCAGGGTAAAGACATTGTGGTCCCACCGGGGTTCATTTGGTACTGCATTTTTACAATGTATTTTGCTCTTTTCACGAAAGGTAGCTCCAGTGGTGCTACCTTGAGTTTAGCTTTACGAAAGGGGAGGCTGGCCAGCCCAGTTACCTGATTATTCGGGTGATTGCTGTTCATTTTAGGTGCCCCCCCCTCAACCCCTTAACGAACCCTAAAAGCAGATCCAAAACACTGTAATTTACAGTGTTTTTGTGCCTTTGGCATGGAAAAAGTAGTTCTTGCAACATGCCGAAAAGTGCGTAAATACCAAGGTTTTTGCTAGGTGCTGTCCAAAAAACACTGTAAATACCATGGTTTTTGCTACCAGGGGCAAAAAACATCGTAGATACCGTGGTTTTGGGCTTCCGAGGCACAAAAAACAACGGTCTTTACGGTGTTTTTTGCTCCGAGAGTCTCAAAAAATGCGAAAACACCAACTATTTGACGATTTTCGGCCACTACGAGACCGAGAGAAAAGCTGCAGGGGCAACAACAACAACAACAACAACAGTACCGTGGTTTTTGATCAGTGAGGCGCCAAACTTTGCGGCGTTTTTTGTCCCGAAGGCTTTTTAAAAATTGGCTTAACACAGCCAAAATGACCCCTTGTGGGGCCCTGCACACATCACCGACATCATCAACAATGCAACGACAGCAAGCATTTGAGTTTGGATTCTTTTGTTTCATTGTTTTCTGCGATTTTGCTGTGGTGACGCATTTTGCACCGATACGCTTCTACAAACAGACGACGTTATATACGTACAGAAACCTTTGCACAGAGCAGCTTTTATGCGCAGATACTCTTATACAAGGTTTGTGCGCAGATAACCTTTTACACGCAGACGCCTTTACACACAGAGGTTTTTACGCAGAGAAGTTTTACACACAGAAGTTTTTATACACCGATGCTTTGCGCAAAGATGCATTTACACGCATAAATAAAGGCACACAGGCGCTTTTACACACAGAACCTTTTACACAGAAAAACCTTTGCACAGAACAGCTTTTACACAAAAAAACTTTTACGCAGGAGAACTTTGACACAGAAAAACTTGCCCACACAGACTGCACAAAGAAGTTTTTACACACCGAAACTTTTATATACACGCAGAAACTTCACCCAGAGCAGCTTTTACACGCAGAAACTTTTCCGCACATAAGCCTTTACGCACAGAAGTCTTTATGCACAGCAGTTTTTACACAGGCCCTTTTACCCACAGATGCCTTTACACAGAAAAACAAGTTACGCACAGAAACTTCTGCACACAGCACGCTTTTACAATCTTTTACACAACCAACTTTTACACGGAGAGGCTTTGCTTGCCCTGCCTGATCACCTACCTTTCGTGTTCCCCCTCTCAAGTGACATCTTCATGCATCACATGGAAGCAAGCACTGCCTGGCAGACAATGGCAGACATATTTTGAGTAATTATGTCCGTACGGTCAGCAATCCCTCATGTTCATTTGTGTAATCTTGGTCAAGTGAAAAATCAGGGGTGGTGGGCACCTTCATATACCATAGTATATGCTCACCACATTGGTAAATGGGTGATTTTTGGCCATGAATGTTCAGGATATTTGACTGAGATTTGCAACGCAATGATCTACTGTAGTGTAGCTAGCCAGTGGAAGATATCGCCCAGATTAGTAGGGTTAATGCCTTAGAGGGCGCAGTAAAAAAAATGCCTGTAGATCCTTCTTGATGATCATGAGACCACGCATCAAAAATATCACCGCCTTGGTGGTTTCAGATGCATTGTTTTATTCGGCCTCGAAACTTGGCAAACTCATATTTCTCGGATGGGCTGGGCCGTCACCGGCCACTTTCCCTTGGCATGAAACGACTCCAATTTAGGGGACCATCACCAAGGTATACCAAGATATGGGTCACAAGTCGCATTTCTGACTCTTAGCTGTTTAGGACCATCGAGTTTTGTTCGACTGAACACAACCCGCTTTGGCGGATCTACATCATCATTGAACCATCTTTTTGTGTATCCCCTGGTGATGCTTCAGCGATCCAAACCGACTCTCCCAGGCTTGCTGGATTTTGAGGAGGTAGTACCTTGGTGCAGTGATGAGGTGAAGAATTATCTCTCCCAGAGAGGTCAAACTTTAAGTTTTTTTCCTCATTTAACGAAAGTGTTGAGGGTCCATATTTTTCGAAACGTGCTTAGGAGAAAACCATCCCATTTAATCATAGACATGCATAATATGTATAATGCATACATGATGTTGTATTGCCAAGTATTGGTTCACATTCACCCTGTGCAAATCCAACATAGCAATGGAAATTATCATTTTCTATGGGCAAATTATCGAAGGAAATGGGCGGTAGCTTCCAGTTCGCAAACTGCAACGAATTACCAGAGGTAAATCCCAGCAGTGTTCTATTTTTGTTGGTTAAATCCCAATAAATCTCCATACAGGCCCATCAAATCCCATAAAAATCACATCTTGTCATCCTTTTTCCAATGGCATCACGCTGGATTTGTGGAAAAGCCAGGTCCTTTTGATGCACTGCTACCGACACACAGAAGGTTTCACGCTGGATGAATTGCAGTAGCCTGGCGAATATTGGCGAATTCTGCGAGGTGTGCTGGGAAACTGTATAGAAAGTAGGGAAATTCGTCAAAAAACAAGAGACAAGGTTCCCTTCAAGAACTGGCATCGAAATGGAGGAAATGGAGAAGGAAAATGATGAAGCCACTGTGTTCTTGATGATGGGGATTGAAATGGACCCTGAATGGGGAAGATGATGGAACATCTTCAGGACGCTCCGATATTTTGATGGTAAACTTTTGCATTGCAGATTTTTCTGCATAAAATGCCCTTTGGAAGATCGAGATGGCTCCAAGAAGGGCGTTTTTCAGTCACTGGATCATAAACTGAGCTTTTCCGAGCATGCTCAAACAGTACTGGTAGATACTGGTAGTATCTGGTAGTATTAAGTTGCCATACCGCCATACCTTCAGTGATTGTCCCGTGCCGAGGACCATCACTGCCATCTATCAGGATGTGGTCGACCAAGTCTCGTTGCTTGGATGGTTAGACCCCAGAGCCACCATGAGCCACGCTGGCCATACGTGTTTCAAAATGTCGAATCGATAAAGGATGGGCATTTATCCTATCCCTACACATAGGTTGTCATATATGTTTTCATGGCTTTTCATTCTGTCTGATGGTTTTTGATGGGTTTGGGGGAAAAAAATGACGTGACCCACCATATGTATCCATGTGTCATGTGGTGCAAAACCCTGGACATAGACATGGGGAGATCGGTTCGTATTTGTTTTTTTTTGGCTCGAGACACGGATGTGATGATGTCATCGTTCCAGGATGTAGGCCTTCCTTTGCTCACAGTGGTGGTTCTCTCGCCTGTGGCAATCCTCAGCTTCAGATACGGTATTCCAATCGAACTCATCGTTTTTGGCTTGCTTTTCGCGGGATACAAAGCTCCCAAGTGGTGTAAAGGGAAAGCGAAACAAGGCGATGATGGTCCCGTTGTCCAAGCTGAAGTTGTCTCAAAAGACACTGCTGCCGAGAAGGCCTTTTGGAGGCCCTGGAAGGCTCGACGTCGTGACGAGCCCGAAAAGGCGAAGAGTGGAAAAGGTGAGGCAAAGGTAGCAAAGCCGAAGAGCGCTGCTGCCCTTTTAAAGAAAAACGCCTCACAGACACAGTGGCGTTCCATTATCAACAAGTTCACCCCGGAGAAATTCGAGAAACTTTGTGAGCAACTTCTTGGGACCTTGCCCAAACAGGGCCCAAACACGGCAGAGAAAACCACTTGCTGTGACACGGAGTTCTCCAAAATTCTGGAAGAGTTGTTGTCGATGATTTTTGATGCTTGCAGTAGGCAACATCAATACACGGAGATGTATGCAGATCTATGCCAGAAGTTGCTGGATCATGTGGCCAAGCAACGGCCCAATCTGGATGGTCGAGCTTGTGTTTGGAGCAGGTGCCAGCACATTTTCCAGAACAGTGTGTTGAAGCCTCCAGAGATTCCAGCGGACCTACCGGAGGATGAGTATATGGACCGCAAAGCCAAAATCAAAGAAAAGATGGTGGCTGGCTGGTGGTTTCAGAAAGCTTCGTCTTCTTTGTTTTCTTTAACCATCTTGTAAGAAATGGGATCGCGATCCCACCTGAAGGTATAGCACATGGATAGACATAATGTGATATAGTACAGATCATAGATCATTATTGATTTCAAACATATTTTATTCTCATTTCATGTCATTTATAGCATATATCCATACATTTATAGCATATATACATACATGGCATCTATATAGTTTATATCTATATAGTCTATATCTATTTTTTGGGGTACTGAGGGTTCAACTGCCAGGTGGGCATGGTGAAGTTCGGAGGAGATCTGGTGGGTCGGGGTCTGGTTCCCGCGGAGGGTGTGATGACCTGGATCCACACTCTGTTGAGTGAGAAGGCTCGGTCCGAGATCCCCGAGATCCCGGATGCTGGGCATTTTTATCGAGAACTGGGTGGTCAACTTTTATCATTTTTTTGGTAGCAATCCCTCTAAATTGAATGCAAAAAGATAGAAGAGTTGATACTAATAGATGGGTAAATTGCTCTTCTATCTTATTTTCGGGGTGGCCAAATATAGTCCTTTTCCATTGTGAATATTTTTTTTTTGGGTGGGACTTTGTTGGTGGCTCATTTTTGCGAGGGTAGCATTGGCATTGGCATACATCAGCCAAGATCAGGACAAGATCCAACATCATGAATCAAAACATTGTGTGGTTACAAGTGTGTCAATAGTACTAGTAGTAAAATCATCCAAGAATCAATCCTCAAAAAAAATCAGGGGAAGTGCCGTAAGGACCCTGAAATCATCTGAAATCATCCTGAAATGAAGCCTGTGAACACAACAAGAATTTCCTGTCAGCAAATTCAGTTCAAAATCCCATGAAATCCCAACATCCTTTAATCAGCCCAGCCAATTCTCAGGATGAGAATGGTTCAACCGCGGAGAAGGATGTGGAGAAACGTGAGATCCAGCTGGAGGTGCTGTGTGCCATCCTCGCATCCATGGGTTCATCCTTGTCAGATCCAACGGTGTGGAGTGAGGAGAATAGGTTGGTCATAGAGAAGCTCCTCTCGACTGCTGCAGGATTTCGTTTATTTTTTTGGGAGAAGATAGACCCAACAGAGGTAGACATGTTCATATGTAGTTGCTGCTGTAGATGTATATATTATATTTACATAATGGAGAGGGCGATGGAGAGAGAAAGAGAGAGAGAGAGATAGTGGTCCTCGGACAAACACGAAGTAAGTAAACCACCATTGAAATAGCAGGAGGTAGCCTTTCCCATGCTTTTCCAATCTTTTTCAATCTCCTTTGTTTGCAACCACCACTCAGGAATGTTTTCGAGCAGCTTGAACAACTGGCAAAGGATGCAAAGCACCTTTCACTCCGAATTCGCTGTTTGATTCGGGATGTTCTTGACTTACGGATAGCTGAATGGACGCTTGGTTTTCTCATGTCTTCTCGAGCAACGGGCAATCTTTCGTTGTATTTTCTTGCCCATGGGTGTGTGTGTGTGTGAACCATCTGAAGAAATGTAGAACTTCTAACCTGTTTGATTTGATTTCCCAGGCTTCTCGGTTTGACCTTAATGTCTTCTTCATTGCAATTTGCAGGTGGCCAGGAACCCATGACTGTCTGTCCTGGCCAACGAAGACCAGACAGCATGGGGGTATAAACGTACCTGCATTTTCAATTTCGAGTTTTCTGTCATGGCAACCAGCTAAGCCTAGAACCGGCGTGTCGATCATTTGGATACAGTATATTTCCAACAGTTTCAATTTGGCAACTACAGTGGCTATGGCGATGGTAGCTCCTTGATATCTTTTCGGGTCCCCTCACCGACTCATTCCTGTCAGGTGTAATGGAAGTGTTCTGGCGCGTAAGATGCATTCCGCAACAAATTTCGCAGTGACAGTTCTGAGAGATTGTGTGTGTCAGCTGGATTTGGGCCATGTCTTATGTCGTAAACCATCCCATTTTGATCCCAGCGTGTAATATACTGTATTTAAAATTGGCAGTGATATTACTATAGTATATATACGGTAACGCCATTTACTGTAAATACTTGGAGGGCGGGCCAGACCGCGAGGCCCCTATATTTAAATGTAGTTTACCGTAAGGTTTAAATTAATTGGATTCCGCATGTTTAAATGGCCGGGCGGGCCAAGGAAAACCTTCCCGGAGATAGTCTACAATACCTGTTCGTATATTTGAAAGTCCGCAAGTTACTGTATATATATATATATATTTATATTATATGTGTGTGTGGGTGTGTTGTTAAAAAAGTAACAATAAAATAAAAATAATTATTATTATAAGCAATAAAAAGAATAACAATAACAATAAAGATAATAATCGCATCTTGTCTTTCATATTTGGATGTTTTTCGAGGTAGTCAAATCTTCGAAATGTTGGGCGGAGCAACGATACAACTTGTTCTGGGGCATGGTTCCGTGACCAGGAAAGAAAAGGCTGGAAAGCTGAAGCCAACAGCGCTCCAACGGCAGAAGGAAGAGATCGAACGAGTGGACACTGGGAGGGGAGATTTTCATGGTGGATTTTTAGGGGTTCATGGTGATTTACAAGGATGATTAATGGGGTTTCAGGGTGATTTCATGGAGTTTTGCTGGGTCCCAACCATATGTATTCGGATGTATGTGAAAAAATTGGGATCAAACCCCAAACGACAATCCTAATAGCGCCGGCATATAGGGATATTAACCGAGTAACTATCAAATTTGAGGGCACCCTACTTTCAGACAACAAATCCATTTTCTAGAAATGGTTTGAAAAGGGTTATTGGAATTCTATTTCTTGAAGTTACATTTTACATCTTCGTTATTGGTGATTGGGTAGTCAGTCATGTCAGTACGAATACCGTAAATCGCGACTTCTTCTTAAAAAGTTCAGGTGCATTCTTTGTTTTTTGATGCGCCAATTGACAGCTTTGTGACGCGCAATGCTGTGCAGTTGTTCTCTTGTTGTTTTTAACGGCTCCCTGCCCCAAAAAACAACACACATCCCAGCTTCCGATACATTTTCCAAGGAGAACAATTGGTGTGGGCGGAGTTTTCCGCCATTTCAGAATGGAGGTAATATTTTTCTTCAGCCAAAACAGAGTTTTCCCGTGTTTTCCCCAATCATTTCCCATTTGCCGCAAGGTTCCACTCAGTCTTGTCCCAGGAAACCAATCTCCGCAGCGAAGCGCCTGAGTTCGTTCCTGGCTCGGGACTGTCGGGGGCTGGAAAGCCATGGACCTCTGATCGACTGCTGGAGGGGAAGCCTTGGATGGATCCGCAGTGCCTCAGATTGCTGGGATTTTACAGTGTTTTCTTGGGTTTCAAATTAAGAATCCAGCTGGGCTGAATGTTGTATATCTATCTATCTATCTATCTATCTACCTACCTATCTATCTATCGATCTATCTATCTATCTATCGATCGATCTATCTATCTATCTCATCTGATCTGATCTGATCTGATCTGATCCGATCCGATCCGATCCGATCCGATCCGATCCGATCCGATCCGATCCGATCCGATCCGATCCTATCTATCTATCTATCTATCTATACTCTATACGTAAAGTGTGATATTGATGAAGATGGTTTACATATGTTAAAATATTGAACATCTTCAACTGGGTGACTTTTTTTGGGGGGGGCATGAAATCGGAGCATAAAACTTGAGGTTTCATCACCAGACTAGTGGGGTTTTGGTTAGGCCGTGGGCGAACCCCTGAATGGATATTGGATCTATCATATCTGTTTGGATCTTAGAAAGATCATGGCGAGGGCATGGCGGAATTGTTGATGGCGTGTAGTAGAACTTCATCCAACAAGTGGGATCAATGGGCCAGAAAGACCTGGCCAGCAACTGGCAATGATCAACACTGCTTTCGGTTGATCTTGGAAGTGACTGTTCTGTCTACTGTATTAGCACTTGGTTTTCCAGAAGCAGCCATCACATCCTGCTCATTCCCTGTGTCATAAAAAACAAAAAAGGGAAACTTGGAGATTAACCAGTTTTTAGCTATGGTATGAGTAGCTTTGGGTAGCCAACAGCTACTTTTGGTCTAACCTCTGCTGTGCTATGTGCATGTATCTCTCTCTCTCTCACACATATATATGATATATATATATATATATATCATATATTATATATATCTACCATATATATATAGATATATATGTTATATATATATATGACCGATATATGGCTCAGCCCTGCAACCACCCCTCCCTGCCCCCCTCATGGTCATGGTCCTGTATGTACTCTGTCCGATATAGTTGTCATTTTGCTAGCATGTAAATGACCGATGTAGGGTCTACTTTACAACCGCCCCCCCCCCTGTGGGGTGGGTGGGGGCTAGGTAGTGTGCCTTTCATAACTAGTGTGTAAGGCAGTAAGTAGGTTGTATGTGGCTAGCATGTAATTGATCCATCTAGGGTCTACTTTACTCCCGCCGCCCCCTGTGGGATGGGCGGGGTATTATAGAGGTATCATGTAGATAGTGTTTAGGTAGTATGTGGCTAGCACGTATGTATAGCATATGAGATCTTGATAGTAGCTAGTCTATGGCTACTACCAGTAGTACCGCACAAGGCGGTAGCGGAAGTTTCAAAGACAGGAAGCCTATAGGAGAGGTTGGTTGTTGTGAATCACGGATGGCAGAGCGAATCCACTGATGGACCTACAGGTGGTTGGAGTCGGAGTTGTGTTTTTGGAATGGTTGCAATGGTTGCAGTGGTCACCTTACCACAACTGCTGGATGTAGTGTGGTGTCGTGCAGTTGTAGTTGTAGTTGCAGTTGTAGCTGTAGTTGTAATGTAGTGGAGCTGTAGCTGTAATGTAGTGTAATTAGTGTATTTGCAGGCGCAGTTGCAGTTGTAGTCGTGGTGTGGTGTAATTAGTGTAGTGTAATGCAGTGTAATGTTGTGAAGTGTTGTGTAGTGTAGTGTGGTATAGTGTAGTGTAATCTAGTGTAAAGTAGTGTAGTTGTAGTTGTAACGCAGTGCAGTGTAAATAGTGTAGCGTAGTGTAATTGTAGCTGTAGTTGCAGCATAATTAGTGTAGTGTGGGGTCGTGTAGTGTAGTGTAGTGTAGTGTAATGTAGTGGTAATTGTAGTTGCAGTTGCAGCTGCGGCTGTAGTTGTAGTGTAGCGCACTGGTAATGCAATGTAATAAGTGCAGTGTAGTGTTGTGTAATGTGGTGTGGTTGTAGTTGCAGCTGTGTTTGTAGTTGTAGTGTGCTGCAGTGTAATAGTGTAGTGCAGTTGTAATTGTAGTTGTAGTTGTGGTAGTAGTGGTTGTTGTAGTTGTTAGTGTAATTGGTTTGGTGTAGTGTAATTAGATGTAATTAGTGTAGTCTTGTAGTGTAATTAGTGTAGTGTAGTGTAGCGTAGTATATTTGCATTTGCAGTTGTAGCAGTAGTGTAGTGTAGTGGTAGTTGTAGTTGTGGTAGTTGTTGTAGTTGTAATTATCTATCTAATCCATCTAATCTATCTAATCTATCTAATCTCTCTAATCTATCTAATCTCTCTAATCTATCTAATCCATCTATCCCATCTATCCATCCAATGTATCCCATCTATCCATCCAATGTATCCTATCTATCCTATCTATCCTATCTACCTATCCTATCTATGTATCTATCTATCTATCCTATCTATCTATCCTATCTATCCTATCTATCTATCCTATCTATCCTATCTATCTATCCTATCTATCCTATCTATCCTATCTATCTTATCTATCTATCTATCTGTCTGTCTGTCTATCTATCTCTCTCTCTCTCTCTATCTATCTATCTATCTATCTATCTAATTCTATCTATCTATCTATCTATCTATCCATCTATCTATCTATCTATCTATCTCATTATCTATGTAATTATCTATCTAATTCTCTATCTAATTATCTATCTAATTATCTATCTAATTATCTATCTAATCTATCTATCTAATCTCTCTATCTAACCTCTCTATCTAATCTATCTATCTAATCCATCTAATCCATCTAATCTATCTAATCTATCTAATCTATCTAATCTATCTAACCTATCTAATCTATCTAATCTATCTAATCTATCTAATCTATCTATCCTATCTACCCTATCTATCCTATCTAATCTATCTATCCTATCTAATCTAAATCTAATCTAATCTAACCTAATATAATCTATCTATCCATCTATCTATCTGTTTGTCTGCCTGTCTGTCTACCTGCAAGCTTGAAAACGAAGCAATTCTGCGAGACTTCCTCAATTTTCGAAGTTGACAACATCAACAATGAAACAATTCTGCGAGACTTCCTTCAAACATGGAAAGTTGAGTGCAGAGCTGACGGCCTCTACCAATGCGTTTTGCGATTTTTCCACTCCACCTGTCTAAAGTACTGCGCCTGCCACGAAAAAGTGATGCCAGGTCATACGAAGTGCTGCACCTATCATGCAAAATCGTATCAGCAAACCTGAAGATCTGATGCTCCAAAATGCAACCCTTCTCAGGAAATAAGCGCCCGGACCTCCTAACATCTCTGATGAACATGTCTTTTGTACTGCCATGTACTGCCCCTGCCACGCGAAATGCATCTTTGCAGATCCTCTTCAAATGCCCCACGCCTGCCATCGTTTCTGGAAATGCTACAAAACCCTCACGTTTTGCTCACTTTTGAGAAGGTGCACAATCCCTTGCGCCTGCCACGCGAACCAACATCTGAACGTCCAAAAAGTGGTCCGAACATGTGGTGTTTTTAACATTTTGACTTCGAAATGTGCTTCGCGTCACCACGGCATTCAGTTTTTCGACATCTCAACTTCCAAAAGTGATCCGAATGTGATGTGCTTTTAGCTTTTTCACTTGCAAATGTGCTTTGCGCCACGACGGCGTGCACTTTTTCGACATCGCAACTTCTAAAAGTGCTCCGAAGCTGAGTTGTTTTGTAATTACATTTGACTTGGAAATGTGCTTCGCGCCACAACGGCGTGCAATTTTCATCTCTCATCTGGCCCGCTGGCTCCGCACCCGCCGCTTGAGAGAGCCTACTTTTCGACCCTCCAGAGCCTCAAATCATTGGAAAAACACAGTGTTTCGCGACTTTCCTACCTTTTCGCGCACCTGGAGCTTCTTTCTTCTGACTCTTTCTCTTTCTTCTTCTCTTATCTTCTCTGACTCTTCCCATCTCTGCTTTTTTTTTCTGTCCATATTGTCGGAAGTTTGACTTCTAAACTTCCTTCGATAAATACGTTGTAAATAGATTGTATGGGCATATTATAGGCAGTAGTGAACACTGCATGCAGGTATCCTGTTATGTAGTGCATAGGTGGCACGAGGCCAGCGTTTAAGTGTAGCATATGAGATTGTGACGGATGGTGGTAGATGGCTAGCCCAATTGCGTGGGGGGTTGCTGGGGAGGACTGGGGGGGGTAGCATTGGGGGAGGGGGGGTTGCCGGACGCCGGGCGGGACCATATGCATATACATATACATATACATATACATATATATATATATATTTGTATTTACACGTTTATATGCACATGATTACACACATAGTTGCATATGCAGTATAAATCCCTCCATATGTATGTATGTATATATATATATATACACCTATAAATCATAAGTGTTATTCGCAATTCCTTCCTACCTAAAGACCTACGAAGGTAACAAAAGACCTGAATAAGGACCAACTAAGGACATACATAATAGCCTCAAAACTGGATGTCTTTGAACTCTTGTGCCATCAAGAGTATCCAGATTGAAACCCACATTGTTGCCCTTTTTTTTGGGTTCGGATCCAAAATTTTTCTGTAGCCGAAAACATGAAATCAGTTGAAAACTCTGGTACCCTTGTCCACGCTCTAGATAGGTCGTTCCACGCCCTAGATTGGGCGTTCCAAGCTCTGGATAGGTCATTCCACGGTTTGTCCACGGTCAGGCCTGAAATTGTGCATAGGTTGTGCATCAAAATATCTTGTTATTCTCGATTGTTTCTCTTCAAAAATTTGTGAAAATAGTGAATAAAATGATATGTCTCTTGGCTGTGCACATCTTGAACCCCTGCTACAGCACACTTCCATAAATAGTTCCCATGATTCTCGTTTACTGTAGGTTTTTTCTCCAAAGGCCTTTTCACAATAGGTCTTTGACGCGCGGGGTATACATATTATATCACAAGATATACATATTTTTTATGAGCTACTTGTACTTCCTCTGTGGAGCTAAGGCTGCTGGCCAGTCTGCAGATGGTGGATCACCATTTGGAGGTCATTGAAGATCGTGATGCCAAGCTACAGAGGCTGAAGGCCTTGGTACAGGTTTATCACCTGATTCAAGAGAAACAAATTGTGCCCTGGATATTAAAATCGATGGTGATTGTTTTTCTTAATCTTTTGCGTTCTTGTTTTGGGATGATTTAGGAATCTGTTGAGTTTCTTGTTGGGTGGGACCCCTTGCTTTGGGAGATGGGTTTTTTGCTTCGCTGTCTTTCGATCGCACGGCCGAGGTGGTGGTGGCCAATACCATTAATCTGCGGCGGATACTGGACATGGTTTCACATAGTTTCGGTGGCACGGATTATCGGTGTTTGGACCAGAACACTCCGGAGCACATTCGCACGCAGAGCCTGCGAAGCTTTGAGATTGGGCAAACTGCAATGCTCTTGATGACCACGGATGTTTGCGCTCGAAGGGAGTTTGATTTTGGAAGGGCAGCACCAGTGCTGATCAATTTCGATTTCCCAATGACGCTGCAGCTATACCTCTACCGCATCCAAAAGCGTACAGACAGTGATACTCATGTCTACACCTTCTTCTCTCCTCATGACGTACGGCACGCAGCTTCATTGGTCATGGTGCTTGAAGGAGCTCGGCAAAAGGTGCCGGATGCCCTGAAAAAGATGAAGGAACAGGTGAAGGCCGATCCGGGGAAGAATCCAAAGGAAGGCCGAAGGAAGAACGGTGCAGAGGAGGCACCGGGGTATCAAGGGGTGGGGCAAAAATGGAATATGTTAATTAAATTTAATTAATATATTATCATGTTAAGTGTCTGTTTGATTTTGTTTGTATATTGTTGTATTTGTTTGTTCCTTGGATATCTTGGACGTCGACATCATGACATTTCAAATCATTTCAACATGTTTGAGCACCCGGAGGAGGATGGAAACAAGACCAACAAGAGACATGACCGGAACGACGATCGTGGTAATCGTCAGGAGTCTCGCCGTGCCCATGGAGAGGGCGAGTTGGGAAAAACCGGCAGTTCCACCAGGTTCCGGAAGAAGCAATGAACTTCTCGCAACCTTTGCTTGGCCCATGGCGCCATGAGGGCCCATGGCTGAATTCCTTCGCGTCTTCCAAACGGTTTGCCAAAACCCCCGCGATGCCATTTTGCTAACTAGTGTAAATCTCGGATGTCGACAGCCTGGTTCTATCCAGAGTAGGGGTGCTCTGATTTCTTTGAAACAGCATTGGTTGTGTGCAAGATGTTTTGTTGATGTGCTCAGAACCAGACTGAATCGGACCCACAATTCGCATATGGCGTTGACCCGCAGCCACAACCACGTGCCAACGAGCTGGAAAAAAAAAACAGTGGGAAATGATCCCTCCTTTCTTCCCCTAGTGCTAAACACCAGCCGGAAATATTTGGAACCATGGAGGGATGGGATTCTGGATGCCCAAATATTCAGCCAAGCTGAGGCGGAGACGAGAGGGCACAAACCTCTTGCCTGCTGTCCCCCGGCCCGGTGCAGATTTTGCTGTTCAATCCTCAATGGGTGCCATATGGTGGTTTGCATTGTTTTTGGTGGTTTGGATTATTTGTACTTTTTTTCTTGGTTTTATCTCCATTCTTGGTTGGTTGAATTCCATTTTTCAGATGGGTTAATTCCACAGTCTTCTAGGTTTCGTTGCGATTTTTGGTGGGTCATAAGCCCCGGTTGAATCATGTTGAATCCTCAATCCTCCCATCTTCAGTTCCAAAGACCCTGAGGAAATGCTGGGAGATGTGCTGGTTCAATTCTTCGGACCTGCACAAGCACAGAAAGCCCGCGACTTGCAATCGGATTGCATCACGCGAATGTCCAAGATGACAAGCACTGCTTCTGAAGGCTTGGGGCTTGGGGGATCACGTTATATCACGTTCCTCTTTGGCTTTAATATGGGTAAAACAATCATAAACCACCCATTTGGGAACGGTTGAAATCCCAGCCATAAAAATGGTGATGACTGGATGGTGCAACTGGCATGGCTTTACCCATGGCCAGGAGGAGCTGCGCCCGGGATCGGCCAAAAGAAGACCACCTTTGGCATGGGCTTCCATGAAGTGCTGCTGTGGGCCAGACGCCTGCGGGAGAAGGCAGGGACTGGAGAGGGAGATGCTGGGGAAGACTGCAGGATATCTGCATACCTACTGGGAGAATGATTTGTATGGGGGCAAATTAGCAATACTTCAAGCCATGATACAGGTGGATCGGAGGCTTTCTTCTCACAGAATTTGCACGAGATGTTTGTGGTTTCCCTGATAACAGTCCGTTTGAGGGCGCTACGTGCGCGAGGTGTGATTAATTCAGTGACACACGTCCCGGTGGACGAGAACGAGACACAGAGCGAGATAGAGAGAAAGAGATATAGATAGATAGATGGATGGATGGATGGATGGATGGAGAAAAAAGATGAACAATTAAGAAATGCGTACATGCAATGTAGGATAAACGTGGATGAAAAATGATAAACATGAACAACTATGGATCACCTCAGATCCATTATGACATGCGCCACCCGGTAATTGTGGGGCCATCCCCAAGAAGTGGAATTGAAACTGAGCAACTCTGGGCAACTTGGGGCATCAATTGCAACTGCTCCGTGGCAAAATGGCATGGCACACCCATTGGCCCCTGGGGACACCATGGCACACCTACAGCCGGAATGTTTTATACATCTTTATAAATTATAATTCTTTATACCACGGAATACTACTGGATTTCCAGGACCATTGAAGTGGGGTTGTTGTTGGGTTTATTCTGCATTACGTCAATGTTTTGCAACCGTTTCTGGCATTTGGAAGCCGTGCAGGAGTTCGAGAGCTACCGCGGCCCGACGGCAATTTTGTATCTTGAGCCGGCTATGCTCCACATGGAGCAACAAATGGCAGGAAAGATAGCAGGATTTTTGTGCGTTTGAGCCTGCAAAAGCGTTTTATCCAACAACCAACTTCGGTTGTTGGAGAGATGCTTCATCGGTAAATGCAATCCCTGCATGCAGGAGCCCCAATCCCCTGACATCCCATTCAACAAATCCACCGAAAGTGGTCCAAAACACCGTGTTATTGAGGGTTTTTGGGGTCTGCTGTTGTTTCTTCTGTCGCTCTCTGCTGGCCAAAAACCCAACAGGTGACGCTTTTCAGAAGTTCGATGAGGATGGCAGCGACTCCATTGACATGGGTGAGCTTCAAAACGTCATCAAGACGTCCCTTGCGGATTCCGAAGTGGTGGTTGGATGTTGAAACATGTCGGGATGGCAGGTGCCCCCAGAACTTGAACATGGAACCAACAAAACGGCAACTTTGGAGAATTAGGAAACTGCCTTCACCCAAAACATCCCGAAACCATTCTGTGGGGTTCATTGGGGTTCCACAGGTTGGTTTACAGCCATATTTGCCATTGATCAGAAAGCTAAAGATAGTTGCCATGATCAGGGGAAGGAGTGGTGCCAGACGAGGTTGGGCTACACCATGACCAAAGCAACAATCATGGAAATCAAGCAAAAGGCCTTCGCGCGCACTGTGCCTCATTTGCAGGAAAGGGTGTGATTTGAGAATTTCCGATATCATACGAGAATCATTGATAATCATTGGTCAGTTTCTGAGAACTATTATTGTAAGTGTATCGTCAAGTATCTGAGTGACTATTAAGCACTATCAAGCCCTTAGGGGCATTCGATTGAGCCGGATGTTGGCCTAGCCTCGGCTTAGGACCTGGATGACATGTGCGTAAAGACCAGCTCAGAAGTGTGACCCGGCAGGGTTGGGCAGTTGGGACCGTCTCAGGCCCGGGGGTGATGTTTTACTAGCCGCAGTTGGGAAACTTATTGACCTATGGACTGGGGGTGATGATGGTTTATTATGGTTTATTATGGTTTATTATGGTTTATTGTGGTTTATTGTGGTTTATGATACCATATGCTACTGTTTATTAACCCCTGATCCCATCCAGCTGTCCCAGAAAACCTGACTTCGAATTAGCATGTTGGGCGTATTCACAAAGGGCCTAAAGATGCGGGGCCGGATGATCAACAGTTTTGGGGTTTCACCTTCCTTTTTTCGCAGCACGAGTCCATCTCAAGACATCTCAAGACTTTTGGACAGGACAAAACGTGGATGCCAAAAAATTGGCCAAGTGATGATTTCCAACCTTTTGATATCGAAAAGTGGCATGGCCATATGCATCATTGCCTCATCCTTAGATTTCGGATTTTTCAGGTTGGATTCGGATTCCATGGATTACGACTCCTTCGTGCACTTCATGTAGCTTGTTGCAATGCGGCTGAGGGATGCCGTTGGAGGTCCATTTTTGGGATACCCTCTGGGAATTTGACATTGCCAACATTACACGTGACCCATGAAAGATGATTCATCACAAAATCCGGGGCTTGAGCTGGGGCCTGACCCACGAGCTGTGCTGCATGTCCAGGATGATGCTTCAGCAATCTGATGGATTTTCTGCAGCAGAGGTGCAAGAAATTAAGGCCCGGTCCGGGCCTTGCCTGCCGGGACTGGCAGAGGAGTAAGATGTTCCCCAGATTGCTGGTGATGGAGATGTATTATACAACATGTTCTATCATTCTATCATATAGGATAAGATACATGTGTTCAACGTGGTTGAAAGTAAGCCTAACCCATACCTGGTTGGTTGTCAAAGGTCACATGCGCACACGTATCATATATATATATATATATATACACATGTATGCATATATATACATATGATTATATATATATATGTGTACATGTGTAGTATGTGTAACGTATCGTGAATATACATACGCACACACACACACATACATATATACCAGTAGTACCGCACAAGGCGGTGGCGGAAGTTTCAAAAATAGGAAACCTATAGGAGACGTTGGTTGTTGTGAATCAGGGATGGCAGAGCGAAGCCACTGATTGACCGAAAGGTGGTTGGAGTTGTGTTTGCTGGAGGGGTTGCAATGGTTGCAGTGGTCACCTCTTCCTCACCTGCTGGATGTAGTGTGATGTACTGCAACTGTAGTTGTAGTTGTAGCGTAGTGGAGTTGTAGTTGCGGTGTAATGTAATTAGTGTAGTGTAGTTGCAGTCATATAGTTGTAGCTGTAGTTGTTTTGTAGTTGTAGTTGTAGTTGTTGTAGTAGTAGTAATTGTTGTTGTAGTTGTAGCTGTAGTTGTTGTGTGGTTGTAGTTGTTGTGCAGTGTAGTTGTAGTAGTAGTAGTAGTTGTTGTAGTTGTAGTTGTTGTTGTTGTTGTGGTTGTTGTTGCTGTTGTTGTTATTGTTGTTGTTGTTGCTGTTGTTGTTGTAGTTGTTGTAGTTGTAGTTCTAGTTGTAGTTCTAGTTGTTGTCTACTTGTTGTAGTTGTAGTTGTTGTAGTTGTAGTTGTTGTGGTTGGTGTTGTTGTTGTTGCTGTTGCTGTTGTCGTCGAAGTTAGGGTAGTTAAGTTAGTGAAGTTAGTTAAGTTAGTCAAGTTAGTTAAGTTAATCAGTGTCTACTTTTTCGACATCTTCACGGCAAAAAAGGCTCAAAACCCTCAGTTTTTTACACTTTTGACTTCGAAATGTGCTTCGTGCCACAACGGCGTGCACTTTTTCGACACTTTTTCGACACTTTTTCGACATCTGAACCTCCAAAAGTTGTCCGAGACCGTCAGTTTTTAACACTTTTGACTTGGAAATGTGCTTCGCGCCACAACGGCGTGCACTTTTTCGACATCTCAACTTCCAAAAGTGGTCCGAGAATGGTGTGTTTTGTACATTTTGACTTGGAAATGTGCTTCGCGCCACAACGGCGTGCACTTTTTCGACATCTCAACTTCCAAAAGTGGTCCGAACCTGGTGTGTTTTGTACATTTTGACTTGGAAATGTGCTTCGCGCCACAACGGCGTGCGCTTTTTCAACATCTCAACTTCCAAAAGTGGTCCGACGCTGGTGTGTTTTCTACATTTTGACTTGCAAATGTGCTTCGCGCCACAACGGCGTGCACTTTTTCATCTCTCATCTGGCCAGCTGGCTCCGCACCCGCCGCTTTAGCGAGCCTACTTTTCCACCCTCCGGAGCCCCAAATCATTGGAAAAACACAGTGTTTCGCGACTTTCCTACCTTTTCGCGCATCTGCATCTTCTTTCTTCTGACTCTTTCTCTTCTGACTCTTCTCACCTCTGCTTTTCAACTGTCCATATTGTCGGAAGTTTCACTTCTAAACTTCCTTCGATTATTATATCATATTATATACTATGATTCAGACACAGACGTACATTCATACATCCATCCATACATCCATCCATCCATAGATACCTACCTACCTACCTATCTACCTACCTATCTATCTATCTATCTATCTATCTATCTAGCTATATAATCTTATCTATATAATCTTATCTATATAATCTTATCTGATCTTATCTGATCTTATCTTATCTTATCTTATCTTATCTATCTATCTATCTTCCTATCTATCCTATCTATCCTATCTATCCTATCTATCCTATCTATCCTATCTATCCTATCTATCCTATCTATCCTATCTGTCCTATCTGTCCTATCTATCCTATCTATCCTATCTATCCTCTCTATCCTATCTATCCTATCTATCTAATCTATCTAATCTATCTAATCTATCTAATCTAATCTATCTGTTTATATGCATACACATTTATATAGCAGGCTTATGTCGTCGTCTGCAGCCAAACTTCTTGTGACTTCCCAATCGATGATCGCCAGACTGGGGATGATCATTGCCACAAATAGTTGGTGATATACCCATCAAATAGCCAATTAATTCCTATGAAATACCCAGTAACATGCTTGCATCACACCCGTCATATGGTTTTATTTATCCGTTGTTTTTCCATTCTATCCTCATTATATTCTTATTTTCCCATTACTCATTGTCATTACATTTCTCATCTTCGAAAAAACTTTATTTTCCATTTATATTATATCTCATTATAATGGTCATTATTTCCATGATTGTTGTTTCCTACTATATCCATCAGCGTTTCCCCAAAGCAATCCCCATTACAGTAGATTCGTCATCCCCATTACATTGTTACATATCCATCGTTCAATATCATTGCATCCATGATGTTGCACATTCATCCATTCTTTTCCCATAATATCAATTTAATATCAAAAACAATATCCCAAGAATATCCCAAAAATATTCCAATAATATCACAAGAATATCCCAAACATATCCCAAAAATCCCCGTTACATCTATCATTTTCATCCATGGTTTTCCACCAGCCACGCCTAAGAAAAGGAGACCTTCCGGAAGTTCGACGAGGACGGCAGCGGCGACATCGACGTCTGCGAGCTCTCCGACATGTTGCGCTTTCAGGGCCATGCTGCCAGCATCGATGAGGCGGGAGCATCCAAGGATGATTTAAGTTGTGAATGTGGCTATCATTACCCTCTGGTAAATTAACATAACTATGCAAAAGCACCATTTTAAATAGGTAAATCAACTATAACTGGGCATTTGTTCAATAGCTATGTTAGTTTACCAGAGGGTAAGATCAATGTGGGTAAAAAAATCATAAACCATCGCCCAAATCACCGTAAATAGGACAAGCCATTCCGAAATGATAAATCGGTGGTTTAATTATATTTTTGTTTTACCCACATTACTATAATAGTGAAATATTGAAATGGGGTTTGCTGTACTACATCAATGATGTTATAATGGTGACATAGTGAAAGTATGGAATCAATGTAATTGTGGTAGCTTGATATGAATGTATAATTCCAGGACTAGTTACATGAAGTAGATATCATCTTATTCACATCCTGGAAACACTTTTCGGCATTTTTTTGGGGGTTGTTGTTGTGCTCTATCAGTAATATAATTGTAACATATTGGAATGTTGGAATCATTGTATATCATTGTATATCATTGTATTCTGGTAGTTTGTTCAGATATCATCCAAGGATATTGCCATCCACCACTTTCAGACACATGTCCCATGTGGAGTTCCATCTCAGCTTGCCCTTCTCGCTGTTCAACGAGGTGCGGCGGTTGCACTCCAGGGTGAACTTCAACGGGAGTGGGGCCTTGGACGTGGCGGAGTTCATTCGCTTCATGTGCTCTGGCCGATGGGTGAGGGTCATGTTTTTTCCTACAAATGTGGGTGCAGTAATAGCACATCCCCCAGTCATCGCCATTTTTATAGGTGGGATTTCAACCATTCCCAAATGGGTGATTTATGGTTGCTTTACCCGCATTAATCCCCTCTAGAAACCATTGTTTAATAGAGGATTTACACATATTTGGGACAATTTAGGGGGTGTTTGATATTAGGGGGATGGGATTTTATACTGTAATATATATATAGCAAATCTCCAGAAGATTAACAGACAAATATGGGAACATATGAGATAATAGTGAGATGCCTTACGTATTTCACGGGTTGGTGAACGTCCTAATTGTTCACGTCAGCCAACTAATGACTAATGGGACGACAATCTCCAGCAGATGCTTTGTGATGTGAATATCACCCCAAACGGGCTACCAACCCCTGTAGGTAAACATAAGGATTTTCGGGAGTTCAATCATCAAACAATGTGTATTTAACCAAACGAAAAAAGGTATTTGATATCGTGGGGATATAGTGGGTGTCTGAAAATGAGGGATTAAGCTCAAACTCGCTACTGTATTTTAACTTGGATGATCTTTAACCAGAGGTGCCATGTTTTTAAACAACCCCATGTCAAGGTTCATAGAAACTTCAAAGACCTGGTTTTGCCACATTGTTTTCATGTAATTTTCCATATGGCTTGGGGATACTTAGGGGTAACGAGGCCCTTCAAAGGAATCGTGACCCGGGTTTAATTTCGTATTGAAAGTAATCGGTACGGTTCTAATTACTATATAATTGTTGTTAGACCAAATTTCTATCTATATTACTTCAGATTGGATTTCATCATTTTGGTCAGGGTGAATTTTTGTTCAGCCTAGGCGTCTATACCGGGAAGAGATGCTGGAGAGTGTTCGGGAGGCGCCCTGGGCCAAGCATCCTGAAGATGTATGATTCAGTCAGGTCTCATCGCATGGTGATTTGTACCATGACAATTGAAAGCTGCAGCCAGTGCAGCTTGGTTGCAGGCTTTTGACACCTTGAAGGACACTAGCCACTTGACTGACCGATGTTGCATCAGCGACTGGGGCCCCGACATGCCCAAACCACATCTGATCTCACATTTTGACAATCCGAATCTACTTTTTTTTGGTGAGAAAATAATTCAGCATAATTCATAATTCAAAACCATCCGCAACTGTAGAATTATTGCTTTCGTTCCTATAGTTTCCCAGGGTTTGCAAGTTCCATCTTGGACAATCGAACGCTCGAGGGGTCGGCCCCCCCAAGCCGAGGCTCTGGGTATTTGAATCCCGAACGCCTTCCCTTGGCCATCAACCAGCTGGAATTCGCTCGCGAGGCCCATGTAGCGACCACTTCGGGAAGCGATTTGATTTAAACCACCCAGGCAAGTCTCTTACACTATCTTACGCTTATTAAGAGTGCCTGATAGATCTGATAGTGCCTAGATCTGATAGTGCCTAGATCTGATAGTGCCTGATAGATCTGAAAAGCAGGTGATGAAGAGTGCTCAACCACATAGCTCTGGTGTGATGCGCTCAAAACCCTTCCCTGAGGAGCGTCGCATAGATGTGGAGCCGTTCTTGCCACATGTGCCTTTGGATTTCGACAGCGGCCCGGACTGAAACAGTTCCTTCGGGATCCTTTGGGTTGTTGATTATACGGATTATACGGCCACTGGAAATGTGGAGATTCTTGGACCACCAGACTGCCAGACTTCGGGGGAACTCTCTTTGCTGACGGCCAGTCATAAGTTCTCAGTCGACTTGGATGGGGCGTATATATACTACAGATCCCTCAAGCTCTGAAATTCAACAGATCTCGGAAGATGATCCTCGTGACAAATTTCGAGAATAGCACGCTGACAAGTGTTCAAGGACCTTTTTTTTGTGTTTGAACACATGCCTAAGATTGGTGAACCCTCGGCAGCCACAAGGTCAATACAAATCATTTGAATCATCGCAGATTGTGAATCATCAACTCCTGCTGGCTCTGCTGACCAGGTGAAAATTGTGTGGTGGATCATGGTCTGCCATGGCTATGTGTTACATTCTACCATGTAATTAATTGGCTTTACTTGGTGTATGTCTTCTATGGCAAATAATCAAATAACTATACACAAACACACGCACACGCATATATAATATATACACACTTATTTCTTTCTTTCTTTATTTATTTCATTTCTTTCTTTCTTTCTTTCTTTCTTTATTTATTGATTCATTCATTCATTCATCCATTCATTCATTCATCCATTTATTCATTCATTCATCCATTTATTCATTCATTCATCCATTCATTCATTCATTCATCCATTCATTCATTCATTCATTTATTCATTTTATTTATTTGTTTATTTATTTGCAACGCACAGGCACACACACAAACATATATATATATACAGATATATACACATAAAAGACATACATATACAAGGTATTTACCCCACATCTATATTGCATTTGTATTTATATCTAATCTATTATACACTCACTTACTATCTTTTATCCAGCCACACTGTGGATCGCAGTGGATCCCAGTGGATCCCAGTGTTTCAGCCACGTTTCGGCGCAGGTTTCATCAACCTCTGCGACAAGGTGCGGGAAGCCCAGGTGGCCGTCGATCGCAAGCGCGCCGGCTTCAGTGAAGCTTGGCGCGACGGCCGATGCCGATGCCGATGCCAGGGGATGCCAGGGGATGACAAAAAACGATGGAAAGATCCAGCATTTTCAATGGGTAAATCCACTATTTCTATGGCAATTTTCAATAGCAAACTGTAACAAATTACCAGAGGGTAGTTTTCTTCAACGTGAATTTACATTGTAAAGAGTCTGGGATGCCCTAGAATATCTACTTCGGGTGATTGGTCTTTGTCACGGGAACAACAACGATGACCATGAGAAATGATGATATATCATATATCCACTTGGTGGTGTGTCATTGTGATCACATCCGTTCTTTATCACCTTGGCATGACTTTCTACATATCAACGATGCAGATCATGACTTGGACGCACCCAGAGATCATTGATTGTACTTCCCACAGCGAATTGGCTATCAGGGCTATCAGGGCTATCATTCAAAAAATCCAATCCCTTGACATGGAGATGCCCAGTTTCCCATCTTCCATCTGCTGAATCCCGAGGACCGTGAGATTGAGCATTATTGGGTGCCCCAGCTGCACAGTTGAGTCCTGAAATTCGGATCCACGATTTGTATCGATTTGTAGCATAGAACATTTTAGAAACATGTAGAGAGATGGCGATGGAGAAAGAGAGAGAGAGAGAGAGACTGAGAGATGTATGATGACATAGGCATAGATATACGATCAATTACTTTATAGTAATGTAATCGTCGGTATAGTTCGATGAGTTCGTCATCGAGAGGCAGTCCATTCCGCAGAGGTTGAACACCAACCCTGCAACGATGACAACTTATGCGAAATGAATGACAATGCCGTGAAGCGCAGCAATGAACTCTTGATCGGACTATACCCGTAATTGTATATCAATCAATATTTACACACACACATATATATATATACACATTTTATTATATCCAGATACCAGTAAGATATTATGTAAATCTATGTGCACCGACATGTGTCAGTTCATCCCATTTTCATCCTAGAGGTCTCGGCCCAAGTTGCCCCCAGGCATTGTACGTGTCGTATGACACAAAGAAGTCGGGCACGGTGTCCATGGAAGAGTGTACCAACCTCCTAGCCACCTTGGGTCGCTTGGACGATCAAGTTCGGGTGATGCCGGGTCAATGGGGGGAAACCCTCAATCTCTGGCCATTCTGATGGGAAACACTATGGAAATGGTATTGAAAAGTCCATGATCCGAATTTGGGATGCTGTACTCCATTTTTCTCAGCATTTCACCGAGGCTTCCAGGTGCGCACAGTGGAGGAACAACAAGATCTGAAGCAGCTGCTAAAACAGGCTGCCCTGCGGACTGTTCCAATATGTTCCAATCATCAATACAAAAAAAGAGAAAAGAACATAAAGAACCATCCCAGCATACCCAGTCAGCTACGATCAGCTACCATACTTCTTTATGTTGAGATTTTACTGCGATTTTGTGTTTTGATTTCGGCACCAAACACAGTGCCAGGCGCGAACTGTCGCGGAAGCAGCTGGGGTCGATGCTGGGTGGCAATTGGTTAACGAAGCTGAAACCGCAAGGTGCATGAAGGTGCGGATCGGAGGGATCTACGAAAAAATGACATTTAATGACTGATATTTTCAAAAGGCACTTAAACAATTTAGATCCTAGTTTCAGGGGGCTTCCTCTGAAATACCACCGCCCAGGATGTCCGCGATGGCGGGGTGAACTTCTACGTTCTCCTGCAGTTGCTGCAGGCCCTGTTTGTGAACCACGAGCGGGAAACCGAGCAGGAACTGGTTCAGGTGCTGCCGGCATTACTTTTCAGTCCTTTTGGGAACTTTGGGGACATTTGGGGCTTTAGTGATACACACTATCACACACACAGACTATGTATATCATAATATTAAATATTAAATATTAAATATTAATTAATATTATATAATATTATATATATATGTATAATATACACCATCAGGGATATGATCCATACCGTTGGACTTACCAGGTCGCTTTAGTATACCTTCGCAATAGGTCCGGATCAAACCTCTTATACGTAACTCACGCGCTCCATACATTTGGATCACGGCGGAACGATCAACACTCGTTGTTTGAGCCAATAGCCGGACCCATATATGCATATTTATGAAGTGCATATCACCTTTCCAGGGGGGAACTTCATTTATCCATATTTATCCACATTTATGGTTCATGTCATGTATATCAGAATCACAATACTTATTTATGCATATTACTGTATAATTCTCTATCTACCTATCTACCTATCTACCTATCTACCTGTCTATCTACCTGTCTATCTATCTATCTATCCATGTCTATGTCTATGTCTCCCACATTTCAGGAATGGGTCTTATAGGATCTCCCCCCAAAAATCAGGTGGCCGATGAAACAGGCTTCACCATGAGCGAGGCCCGGCAGAGAGTGGAGATGTTAAGAAATAGCAAACTTTTGCCAGCGAAAAATATGGCTTTGACCGGCAAACAAGTGTGTTTTACCGGCAGAAGTGTTGTTTTACCGGCTATACACTATTTATAAAACTGATTATATGCATGTGTGTGTTTTGATATCAAACGCACACACATGTATATACATATATATATATATACATGTATATATGTATACAAATGTACGCGTATCCATTGTCTTTTTTAATCACCACTATTCACTATTCAATCTTATATACTGGCTGATCCTAAAAAGGGTGATGACTCACATCTTTGGGGATGGGTTGAAACCACCAGCTGGGGTTTAGGATGGAATCGCGAAACATGGAGATCTCACCAACATGAACTGGGACCGAACTGACAAGAAAAAATCGTTACTGTAATCCAGTGCAAAACGGGCTTTTTACCAACATGCAAGGAGAAATTACCAGTGAAAATTCCCATGATTATGGTTTTGACATGCTTTAAGTTCCAACAGAGGTTGAATTCCACAACCATTTCAATCATCGTTCGGTCTCTGGCAATTGAACATCCCAACTTTCAACGGAAAATCAAGGGTAAGTGCACCCTTTCTTCTGTTGATTCTATTTGCGTGTCTTTACAAACCATGTTTTTATCATGTTCCCCAAGAGTCATTTGTTGAGTCTGATCCACCCACTCAACTCACTATGGTTCCAGTGGATGCCAATGGCAGGTGAGTGAATTCAACGACGTCTTCGTCCAGTATTGGAATGCCGAACTGGAGCCCGGGGAATGGAATCATCCCAGCGATCGGCTGCGCAAGAAGCTGCTCGCCGCGGAAGCCGCAACGCGAACATGATATGCGCAACTAACGAGAATGGGTGAGGAGTGGTGAATCATCTACTGATGGTGATTATGGTGAACATTCTCATTAACGGCACCATCAAAGATGATCATGGTTTTTAGAAAGAATGGGGAGATTGGCAAATATGTGCAGCTAACATGAACACAGAACATTTGTGTTGGTGATTGGAGGGCCTACCAGAATTCATAGAGAAGCCTTTGGTTAAAAGAGATTGCATGAAACCTATTTAATGAACCAAACATGATTAGCCAATGTCAGAGCGAACATGGCCCATAGGGCAAAAAGCTCTAGCCACGACAGATTCAATGGAGAGCTGTGTCACAACATGTTGAGGTGTTTTTTCGATGTCATGTTGTCGTTAAGCTGTCGGAACCCGTCATGTTCCATCGCATTTTCTGGTCATGACACCAACCACTGCGACATTCCCTGCTGTCGCTTGTAAGGACCATCACCAGGAGCCGTTGGGGACGATAGCATGGTGGCACGACGCCAGCATTGGGCAGATTGTAGGTGAATCTCTCTCTCTCTCTCTCTCGTGGCATCACTGTCATTGTATACAATTGCGACGTGTATCCCGGGAATCCCGGGAAGAATCACCGGGAATCATCGACCCCGCCGCAGCACAGGAGCTCTGTTTACAAACTCCTTCGGTCCATGGGGATCCGCTTGGACCATTCCTCCAAGGCGCCGGGAATGGTCCGGACCGTGGAGAGGGTGAGCCGGGTTTCAACCAGCAACACTTGGGGATGGACAGTTATCAAGTGCTCGGATTATGCAATAGTAATTATTACTCACTGATATTCACTGATCATTTTTCAATTCATTAGGCGAGAGGTGCTTGAGGCGAAAGTCAATTTGGATACCTTGCGGCAATGTTGGCAATCAGACTATATAAGGAAACCCGCAGATGTTGATTGCTAGTCTTAAATCATTCCAACTTTGACGTGCCCATACCGAAGTTTTCTGATCAACATCACGCTCCAGTGGTTGTTGCCCTGCCGTGCCACGCAGACACAAATCGACCATCAGATCCACAAGTTCAGTGGTTGGGGACCTTGGATGCAGAAGCTTTCCAGATGTGCGGCAGAGGGAAAGACACCTTAGTTATTAGTTTATCCAGTGAAATGGGCTTATTTTCTGCCAGCAAACTTGCCAAAATTGAGGCCCCGAGCCTTGCCCAAATTAGCAATGTTCCACTCACAACTATCATGAACCTCTCAAACCTGCAAAATCGAATTTGCACATCTTCTTCCAATCCCTTTAGTCAAGGTTCCATCGTAGTTTCTAGGGTTGCAGATCCGGTTGCAGCCCATGATTTTGACATACCTGATGTCGTGGTGTGTGCATGGCCCCATGGCTCCCATTGACCTCATCGGCCAGGTGAGAAACTGGATTTCCATGGCTGTCTACGGCTGATGCGCTGGATAGTAGATGTGAACTTTGCTTCTATCAACAGTACCTCGGATCAAGGTCACTGAGGACTGGGCGGCTTACGAGGGCTGGGCGTCCACATTCATCGATGCGGCCTGAAACGTTTTTGATGGTTTTTGCTTGCCAGGTCACATAGCAAAACCAAAATAACAGGAGTTCTAACACTACAGGACTCAGGACCATTCGGTATCATCGGAACAAGAGCTTTGTGCATTAGAATTTGATAGCACCCATTCCTGCCATTTGTTTCCTGATGGAAAACATGTTTTCGCTCTATGGCTTGCGCTTTTTGATGCGCCCTGAGCTTTGATAACCTCATGCGACCAGTGAGGTTTTCGAAAAAGCCCAAAGGTCATAAACCACTGCTATTTGCGCATCAATGACGTCAACAAAAAGGCCCAATAATTTAGAAAAACCTTGTTGTTCATCACTGGATTTGTCACAAAGAACCATGAGTTTTCATGAGCTCCCAGCCAAGGTACCTGAAGCGGCCCGCGGCCGCGGGACATGTTTCAGAGGGTGGGTCCTTTCGATGGCGCAGAAATGCATAGAATTCCCTGCTGATCCTGCGCTTACACAAGTTGTATCAAGTTGTTATCTCTTGACAGATGCGAATTCTACAAGGACCCGGGCAAATTGTACAAAGATTGCAGTTGTGACCGGTTGTTGTACCGCGTAGGTTGGTTCGTTCCGAACGAAGAATGCTGTGGAGTTTTGGACCATCTGCTGTACCAAAGGTAGTAGCAGGGGCCGACACCGAAGCACAAGAGTTGACAAAATGCCCAGCCGCAGGGTAGTTGGAATTTTCCTAGGTTGCTAGCACTAGTGGGGTCAAAGATCTTATATGGAACATTATATAACCCCATACGCCACCTGATCAATGACTACCTACCCATGTGTAAATGTCCCGTTTATGAACATGTGTGATAGGTATGGAATGGTATTGGGTATTGATATACAATATTATACAATATAAATAATTAATTATGAAAATCCAAATTATAGTCATGAAATATCATGAATATGAATTTAAACATCATGTTTAGGGTATCCCAGTTTACAATAAATATGCCATCTATAACCAATGTGTAACCCATTTATATCATCTTATTCCATTTGTCATGGGCTTCCCACTGCCACACTCCGTAGCAGTTACCATCTGCCGCCAGGTGAGACGCCGCTATGATGTGAACCGCGTGCGTGAAACGCAGTGCAGAAAATGCGACCAAACTTGGTGCCAACGATATTTGTTTAATGAATGCGATAATAGAACCTAAGATGTTTCTACGATACGCATGTTATGATGTTTATGATATTTCAATATCTCTTGTTACGTTATCTTATGTTTATGTTCATGATTTTTGTATGGGCAGTATGGACCAAAACCTAAGATCATGATATAGAAGGGCATTAGTTGTGGTAAGCGAGCTCGGCCGCGACTTGTATTGGCTTCAGTGAAGCGTGCTCCAGCAGTGGAAGCTGGCACAACTGCTCCACCAGGGACCAGGAAAAGCTTGGGAAAATGGGGAGCATGGCTTGGGGACTTGCAGTTTGGTTGGAGCCTTTGTTGGATAATGGATGAATACTGGATGAATCTGGATGATAATGGATGAATACTGGGTGATAATGGATGAGGATGATAATGTATATGATATTACGCCATGTTACATAATATTGCGCGCAAGGAAGCATGCGGTTGGGCAATGGTTGGTTTTTGACTGAAGTTTTGAAGTTGCTTGCGGCCCAAAGTCTGAGACATGCAGGTTCTCAGTCAAGCTGAGCGACAAGGACTTTAATTAATTACCTGGCCCGGTTGTGTTTCCCTGCCCTGTCGTGGCTTATTATTTTTCTATATATTTGTTTAATTATATATATATTAATTATATATATATATGTATTTAAATGCCTTCGGCAAGCCCGCCGGCCATAGAGAGGTGGCCCCAAGGGAGTTTGATGTGGATTCTAGGTGGAAGCCCGCGAGAGAGCAGAATAAGAAAGGAGGACGAAGACAAAGCCGTAAAACGGAAGCGGCTTGTGTAGCAAGGTTTTCTGTAACATGCTGTCACAACCTGCTGACCGTATACCAAATTAGTACTGCCCCAGCAAAGTAGCGCCAGGTACTATGTATGAGCCTCCGTCTTCACAGCAGACCGCTGCATGAAGGAGGCAGGGGAGAGAGATTGCCCCAAGGGAGGTTGCGGTGCACGCTACATGGAAGCCTGAGAGAAGAAGAGAAAGAAACAGAGCCGTAGATCAGAAGCAGCTTGAGTATATAGCAAGTGCGTGCTTGAACCACCAATGGAACGCATACCAAATGAGTACTAGTCGATCAGTACCGTGTGCGTCCTGTGACGAGTAGCTGTAGACGACGGTAGAGGAGTCGAGAAATCAGAGTCGGAGTAGGCATCGGAGTAGGCGTTGGAGTAGGTAGTGCTACTAGTAGTAGTAGTAGTAGTAGTAGTAGTATATAGTAGTAGCAGTAGCAGTAGCAGTAGCAGTAGGAGTAGGAGTAGGAGTAGGAGTAGTCGTAGTAGTAGTAGTAGTAGTAGTAGCAGTACTAGTAGTAGTACTAGTAGTAGTAGTAGTAGTAGTACTAGTAGTAGTGCTAGTAGTACTAGTAGTAGTACTAGTAGTAGTGCTAGTAGTGCTAGTAGTACTAGTAGTAGTACTAGTAGTGCTAGTAGTAGTACTAGTAGTGCTAGTAGTATTAGTAATACTAGTAGCACTAGTAGTACTAGTAGCACTAGTAGTACCAGTAGTACTAGTAGTACCAGTAGTACCAGTAGTACCAGTAGTACCAGTAGTACCAGTAGTACCAGTAGTACCAGTAGTACCAGTAGTACCAGTAGTACCAGTAGTACCAGTAGTACCAGTAGTACTAGTAGTACTAGTAGTAGTAGCAGTAGTAGCAGTAGTAGCAGTAGTAGTAGAAGTAGAAGTAGAAGTAGAAGTAGTAGTAGTAGTAGCAGTAGTAGTAGTAGTAGTAAATAGTAGTAGTAGTAGTAGTAGTAGTAGTAGTAGTAGTGGTAGTGGTAGTGGTAGTGGTAGTGGTATTGGTAGTGGTAGTGGTAGTGGTAGTGGTAGTAGTAGTGGTAGTAGTAGCAGTAGTAGTAGCAGTAGTAGTAGCAGTAGTAGTGGTAGTGGTAGTGGTAGTGGTAGTAGTAGTGGTAGTAGTAGTGGTAGTAGTAGCAGTAGTAGTAGCAGTAGTAGTAGCAGTAGTAGTAGCAGTAGTAGTGGTAGTGGTAGTGGTAGTGGTGGTAGTAGTAGTAGTAGCAGTAGTAGTAGCAGTAGTAGTAGCAGTAGTAGTGGTAGTGGTAGTGGTGGTAGTGGTGGTAGTGGTGGTAGTGGTGGTAGTGGTGGTAGTGGTGGTAGTGGTGGTAGTGGTGGTAGTGGTGGTGGTAGTGGTGGTGGTAGTAGTAGTAGTAGTAGTAGTGGTAGAAGGAGTAGTAGTAGTAGTAGTAGCAGTAGTAGTAGTAGCAGTAGGAGGTAGTAGTAGTTAGTAGTAGTTTGTAGAATTGATGACGATTTCAAAAGTTTGACAGCAGTATTGGAGTGTTACGTGGAGGATCATAAGGTATTACCTTACTGCATAGTGTTGCAATGCTTATCTTCCGGATATCTAGGAGGAGGCATGTTTGACCCCACGTATGATGAAGAACATCCATACAGGTCATCTCCACAATTTTCACTGATGTTTTGGAGTCTTGGAAATTGGTGCAGAACACGTTTTAGCAAATGCCCACTTCCTGAACGATTACAAAGGTTTGCGCCACAAATAGATTATGACCTGGACAGCAATCATGAGAAGATTGGAGAAAACAAACCGCAGTTCAACAACTATTTCATCAACGTCATCAAGAACCTTGGAGCACATCTATTCATGAATTGCGAGGCTGGTAGTCGCTACCCTCACAGAGCTTTGCCTGAAGAGGCACGAATCACTACTTGCTTCGATGATTATCATGATTTGATGGTAGCTGCTCGGATTGGAAAGGAAGGATATATCCGACAAACTGCTGGGTACAATACATGCGAGGACGACACGCGCATCAGGTACGTATCATGTGCCATATTCGAGATTCATTGGGGTATCACGAAGCATCGAGATACACAGATTGAGGAGCCCCTCACAAGAGCCCGAATGCAGATGACATGTGTGTATACCACGTCGGACAGAAGCATGTCGGAGACTCACCCGTATCACAGGGGAGTGCATAGCTTGCATGGCTTTTGAGTGCGCCAGTTATCAGGTTGACGTGATCGCAGGCGACGGGAACAAAGCATGCTATCTTGCAAATCCGAAAACCGGAGGTGTTCCCACGTACGAATGCAGCCTTTTGCAGTACTGGATCAACAAGATGATGAATGTTGCAACACAAGCAAGACGCAAACACTTTGGAGATTCTCCACCTGTTAGGGTCAAGCACTTTCTCTCCTGTAATTATCGAGATCTTGATTTTCTTGCAACACATCTGGATGGCATTACAACAGATACATACACCGGAGAACTCGCGAAGAAGACAGAAGACCGTGGTGACTGTTGTATAATGTCTTTTGTTGAGTGGGACCATGCTAGATTGGAGTATGAGGAAGGCATCAGTCGATTTGATGATGAAGATCACATGAACTTTACTGGTGAATTTACCTTCAGGGTCAATGAAACTGGTTTAACCAGTGATCACAACATCTTCATGGTTGCACCTACAGACAGAGACGCTCACAACCCCATTCTTGTGCACTTGAAACCTTCAGATATGGTTTGGAATGAAAAGCGTAGATGAAACGAAGACGTCACGAGAAGAGGAAGGAGATGCAGAAGGCGACCAAGAGAAAGGGTTATGACGATCGCGACTGGAGCAACTGGCAGCGGACTGGTTGTGGTGGTTCCTCAGCTTCATTGTCCGGAACATGGAGACCGAAGTCAGTGTATACTTCTATAGATGAAGATAACACAGCACGATTTGCTTCGTACAGTTTTTCTGTGTTCCCATTTCTTTCTGAATGAAAAAGAAATGAGCTCACCGACAAACAGAGACTTTGCAAGGCA